TAAGGTCAGAGCTCTCTGTCTGTATCTCTCTCATGGAATCATTCCATATATTGACTGCTTAGACATTGACAGGAAAGTCAAAGGTTTAATTAGTGTATAGATCTGAGGCACCTGTACAGCTTGTTAGAACAGATCCAGTTCTGCTGGTCAGAGGCTGATCGACCAGCGAACTGTGTTTATCCACAGTACAGGATGAATAAAGTAATAAACCAGCCTGCACTGCAGTCGACCTCTTTAGACCCTGATGTGGTCCTGATCAAAGAGCACATGACCTTTGAGCTGAAAGGCCAGACAGAGTTCACCCCTTTGGTTCCCATGGTTAGTTATTGCACTGCAGAGTAGACAGAAAATGAAGTATTGACTGGAGGAGTGCAGGCGAAAAATGGGATTGATGCATTATTTAATAAGTATCTTTCTTATCCTAACTTTAATCATACAATGCTGAACTTCTTACTTTTCTTATCTTACTGTGTGTGTATTTTAGAAGCATAAGCCAACACAATATTATGATGACATGCCAAAAGTATACTTTTCCCAGAGGGTGCATTTATTATCAGCGAGGTCACAGTGACCCCAGACAAATGATTCCTGCCTCTGTGACTCCTGGGAGTCGCTCTAATGAGCCCCAATTATGATGGCATTACCACTGAATGCAGGGTAATGACCTTCCCTGTAACAAACAAACAAACAAACAAAATGTTAACTGTTCAAGTTAAAGCTTAATTAATCTCATAAGAGCATGTAGGGAATCCCAGGCCTGCATTCTGACAATTCAAAATGAAAGGGAATTTGTGGGGGTGCAAACTAATAATGAGCCTTTAACAGACTTTAATTAAAAATGCATTCAAAGTAAACATTTTAGTGACACTTATTCATTGATGTTTGTGTTTAAAAACATGTTGTTGACTTGCTCTTGGGGGAGTCCCTGTCACCATCTTAAATCCAATCCTCTCAAATCTAATGTCTGATCTCAAGGGATGTTTTGTAAGTTCAAGCCTTCAAGGGCTGAGGGAGGAAGTGAGCAATGGCAGACTATAGAGGAGCATATTTACCCAGAATGCATTATAATCTTTTATTACATCATCTGTGCTATGTGAAACATGTACAAATGAACATGGGGCTGGCTAATGTTTTGAAATGTCTCAATACCGGTAGCTATACAATATCTGTATTTATTTGATACCTCACATCGAGCATTTATTTGTATTATTCAATGCCACCTTTCAATTAACCATCAACAATCAACAATGTTTAGACACCAACGTAAAAGGTGGCAAATGTTCCCTTTAATACAAATCTATCTGGATCAGAATCAGACTTGTTTGAATGATATGCTGATTTTAGAAAAAATACTGGCCAATATTTTTCGATATATATATACAGTATATAACAGATTCTAATATCAGTTTGCACACCCAGAGCAGAGGAGAAGTAAAAAATACTGTTTAATAATTTAGATTTTGCACCACAAAGTTTCTTCCATTGATCGCCTTTTTTATTATTAACAGCTGCTGTCCTGTTCTGTATGTAAACATTAGTACTGCATTTAAAAATGCAATGCATTTGTAGTCGATGGGAACGTGTGTGAAAGATGTGTCTTTTGAATTGGAGTAAAAAGTTAACCTTTCAGATGCAGGGGGAATTTCTGGCCACTGGTTTTGCGTGGGACAGAGATTGGATAAAAAGAGAAATATAAAATCCCATTGCTCTGAGGTCACTTTGCCCAATGCAAACATTAGCACACAGTTCCCTCTCATTGGACTGTTCTCATCTCATAAAGTTTTACCAATAAAATAATTATTTAAAACATGAACCCTCTTCTACTCTTTAACGTCATAGACAATTTAACCTCAGTAGAATCTAACAGGACAGATTTGACTGTCAAACACGTCTCGTTCTCCTCTCCTGTGATAACAAACCCCTTCATGTATCTTCACAAGGCAGCAGAGGCACATCCAGCAATCAATAACCAGTAATCAGCAGACTGTAAACTGGCAGACTTCTCTCCATAAGTCACAACCTTTACTTTCAGCTTGATGCATACTATTCAATCAGTGGTTGATGGGCTATGAGACATCAGAGTGAGTGTTACAGAGGAGAGATAGAGGTCATTTAAAAAGTTGCTGGAAGTTCAGAAACTCAGATATGATTGTGTCCGCTGATAGCAGCAGCGGTTTATAGTTGATTTTCACATTCATTTTAGACGTGTCCCATCGTTTGCAGTTGAGCTTTTGCCTCCCAGACATTCATATAAGAAAGGAGAGGGTGAGTCATAGCTTTACATAAGTCAAGGACATTCAGTGCCTGGACTAAATAACTCTAATGAATCTTTTCTCTACTTCCCTGTCCTTTATCTGTCTTTTTTCTTTCTTCATTTTTACTGTGCTCAGCTTAAACCCTGTCCACGCATCCTTTACAAAGTCACTCAACTGGATAAAGTCATTTACCTGGATGAAGGGGAGCGAGAGTGGGAAATAGACAGTACAGGGGGTGGGCCGTGTAAGGCAGAAAGGAAGTCTTTGGGAAGCATGGTATTTGTAAGGAGAATGTGGTAAAATAGCAGAGGAGAAAATAAATACAATAAGAGGTCAAATATACAGTATGGAGAATGCCTGAATACTTTGAACATGCAAATTAAGTTTACTGTATTCCCGCTAACTCTTTATTTGTGTTCAAGAATCCATTAAAAATGGAAAAAAGCTGATGACTGAGGAGAAAAATACAACATATCAGCCAAAGAGAGAACATGTCAGCAAAGGCAGGATGAAGATATCATTAGATATTAGTTATTTTATTAAACATATGGCACAACATTGCTCAAGAGATGATGACAAGTAAGATGGTGACAGACATTATGCCAGCTAAATATCAGCATGACGGCATTTTCACTGTGAGCATGCTGATGTTGACATTTAGCTCTGAGCTCTGTGTCCTATAAAGCTGTGTAGGTGTAGACTGGGTAACTATGACATGCATACAGTACACACACACACACACACACACACACACACACACACACACACACACACACACACACACACACACACACACACACACACACACACACACACAACATATCATTGTCATGAGTGTAATTTATTTGATGTTTGGCTGTTTTGTTCCTTTATGATGGATGTATTGTTTTTACTGTAAAGAGCCTTGTTGAAAATGTATCTCAATCATTATGCACATGAAAGTGTATGATGTCAACATGAGTCAAGTCAACATGCTTTAATCTTTGAACAATGCTTTCCTAACAATGAAGCTTGTCTCTTCTGTCTCCATATACAACATGACATGCCCAGGACACTGCCATAGCACCTGACATGTACTGTAAGTCACAATGTCTCACATCTGAGTGACATCATTATGTAAAGGCAGCTCCTACACTGCTGACCTTGTGAAATTGGAAGAAAACATTATCTATCTTTCTAGTCGCCCGTGTTTCAGAAGTATCTAATAAATAATAACAAGACAAATGTTTTAAATCTGCAGCAATTATCACTTATTTACATTTGTAAGGGAAAGCAGCTGAAATCACATTGATTCCTGATAGTTTTGCTGGTCGCTCATTTTGATACACACATTTCTTTTTCAAGCGTTCTTTGCCCTCTGCCACTGATATGAGGTTAAATAGGAAAAAATGCAAACTATGACCTGTTCATGAAACAAATGATGAAATGATCAAAATCCCTGATGGTTTCACAAAAACATCTGTGTTGCTTTTTACCTTCATCTGTTCTTTGCCTGACATGGTTTTCACATGACTTTAATTGATATCCTCACACACACATTCCTATCTCCTGCTGTTGTGCAGATTTTCCTGTATGACCCGTGGTTCAGAAATCCCTGTGATTGTAGTACAGAATGCAGACCTTGAGTTAGGACGCTTGATAAGCTCCGGGCTGCAGAGAGACACTGACTTCAGGGGTCGATCGTGATTTCCCAAGGTTTATTCGTCACAGCTGGGCTGATTTGATTAACACTGCCATGCCTTTCTGTCAGGCTATATCTCCCCGCGCAGACCTCTGCCAGCCCTGCACTATTTGATGCTTTAAAAAATAAAACAGATGTGAAAGTCCAGACCTTTTTTGGAGAGCCTCGAGGGGCTGACAATGTGACATCTTACTGTAGTTCAGTGACACTTACTCAGATGTTCACATGGAGCAGGTGCACTCATTCACGCCTACATGGAGCTAATTCGTTTTTTTACAATATGTTTTTGATTAAATACAAATAGGGAAACACTTCCTTCGTTTATTAACTGGCACAGTGCTGCATGAAGTCAACGTTTCCTGACAGTGATGATAAAATGTTGTGACGTAAAGAGCACTGCTAACTCACCATTTTTATTTGACCTTTTATTAATGTTTTGTTTGGTTTTCTATGCCTACAACAATCACATGCATGGTTAGACTCTGTCTCTTTAACTCTAGCATCGCCTGCTTGCGGGAACATGGCATTTACCAGCTTCCTTGCCTCATTTTACCTGCCCCAGTCTCTCTCAGCACTTGCAATATGCACTCTTGGTAGATTAGAAACAACCTTGTTCTCTCTGGGGTGTCCTGAATGTAGGCCATTACTTTGCAACAATTTGCAAGGGCTACAGTTTTCAGTAATTACATTGATTCGTTCCAGCATTAATAGTAACTGAAATTATATATATGTACTATACTGTATATTTTTCACTTGGTTAATAAGATACATAATACTAAATTGGATAAGCTGCTTTAGATTGGGCAAGTTAACACAATCCTTTCAAGATACAATAACAGTGCTTGGAAGTTTTAAGTATTCAGTTGTGTAAGATGAACGCATAGTCTCTTTACAGTCATTTATCTGTGTTTGGCTCTGTGCATATCTCACTGTGAGAGGAATATGCATGCAGTTCATTGGCCAGCTGCTGAGAATTATGAAAGTGATTGTAAAAACTATTGATTTTGACCGTGACAGGGCACTGCCAGGGAATCTCCCCAGTCTTTTTGATATGTTTCTGATGGTTAAACAGCCACATTGGCCAGTCTCGGGTCTGAGTCCTGCTCGTACCGGTAGTGGTAGACCTCCATCTGGTCCCTGCACGCATCTCTGATGTTGTTGAGCCACATTTTGATGCCTCCCCGGTTTAGATAGAGCACCATGAGAAACACCACCCCGATCAGAGCCAACACCAAACCGAGAAACACGTAAGAAACCGCCTCCAGGTTTTCGTTCATACAATCCACGTCCTCCTCCCTGAGCTTCTCCACAGGGACCCCCCTCCTGGACTCCGGCTCGCTGCACACGAGCCGCCCTGCATCCGGGCACTGGGAAGAGTTCTTCAACCAGTAGTAAAACGCCTCCAGCTCACAGTTGCACCGAAATGGGTTTAAAGATAAGTAGAAGCGAATTCGCCTTTGCTGGTACAACGTGGTTACATTGTCCCCTCCTATGCTCTCTATTGAGTTGTTTATCAGCACTAAAGCGTGGAGATTATGCATATCTAACCGAATCTGTGGAATATGCTTTAGCATGTTTCCCGCCAACTCCAGTCGGTGGAGGTTGGGCAAACTTTGTGTGCTGAGTGCATTTGAGAGCTGCTCCGTGGCTGGAGGTAAAAGCGAGTGATTTAGGTAAAGAGAGCGCAGCTCCAGTAACCCGTGAAAAGCCCGGGCTGAGATAAACACCAGCGAGTTGTGGCTAAGATCCAGCAAATGCAATCGAGGAAGTCCCAGGAATGCGTAATGTTCAATAACCCGTATCCCGTTATAGGAGAGCGAGAGTGTCGTCAACTCCGTCTCCGTCCCGTTGCTCATGAACGCACCACGCTGCAAAGTTGAAATGTTTCTCCCTTCGAGTATCAAGGTGGACGTCCACTCCGGTATATCTCCTGGTACCTCGGTGTCCTTCCCGTCACGGCAGGTCACTGTCCCGGAGTCTCTGGCACAGATGCAGTCCTCTGGGCAAGCGACATCCGTCCTGACAGTGGAAAACAACAAACACGCCACCGCTGCGTAATACAAACACTGATTCCGAATGAGAAAAAAACACTTTGAATTGTCGGCTCTGTGAAATATCCACATCTTCTTCCTAATTTTAGTCTCAAAGCAGGTCTGAGTCTGTGTGTCTCGCAGAGAAGGTGAACGACTTGTATCTTTTCTCAGGCATGTAAAGTCGAATCAGTCCGGCTTCGGTCACTTTGGACCAGCAGAGTAGAACAAAACACGCTTTTTCTACTGTCACCTTGGTGATGTGGGTCTCTGTCCGGAGAAAATATGACTTTTCTCTAGGATTCTCGGTACGGTGGACAGGCAAATGTGGCTACGTGGAAAGCTGCTGATTCGCGCTCCCTTGTTGGTATTTTTGACGCCTGTCACAGAAAGAGAGAGAGAGAAATAGAGAGAGAGAAAGGAGGGGGGAGAGAGATATGCAAGCACTCCGGAGTCACTCATCCTCATATTATACTTATTAATTTGAAAAAAGCAAGGGAACATTAAATATAGAAATATACTATGCTTTTAAGGCATTGTGAGTTAAATAATTGACATGTCCACGTGATGTTGCATGAACAGTGATTTGTTTTCATAATTTTCCAATTAAAAAAGCAAATCCTAATCCCCCCAGTTGGAACGATAACATTAGCTAGTTTATCAAAACTTAGATGGTTCCCAGATAATTGAACTCCAGAAGAGTTTGCCATTTCCTTTCCTCATCACGTTTCCATCATTTATGGTCCTAATTTATGGCATCTTATGTTTGTTGCAAATCAGGGAAGTGCAGCGGTGCCTGGAGGCCTTTGTAGTTCTTTCTAATTGATTCCTTTTTCAAACAAAGTAAACAGTTTTTCTGGGAATTGGTAACGCTCTCGCTCTCTACAG